ACTCCCCCCCCCCCCCGACAATTTGAGCCCTAAATATTTTTAAAAAATTCTTCATACCCTAGTGTATTAATGATCAAATAAATACTAGATTGCATTGTGTCTCAATTTGTTTTTTGCCTTTTTTTCGTTAAGGGTGATATATAAATTTATGTATATATATATATATATATTAGTACAAACAAAAGAATAGGTTCCTCTATTTCTTTTTTCTTATCAACACCTTTTGCAATTTTGTTATTCTACATATTACTAACTATTCTACTATCCCACAACTCCTAAATCAAACACCTTCACAACGATTTACGTTCCTTTCGAAAGATAGATATGATCATATAAAATAACATTTTTTGTGTGTCATATTTTAAAATACAAACGTGTCGACTTTAATTTAAAACGTCGGCAGCAACCCAATTAAATGAAATTGTTATTTTTTCTCATTAATAAACTGCAAACGAGAGATTCAAACCAAGGCCACGTACTTATAATAGCTGTAAATATCGAAAATCTTATCCAGCAACCGTAGGAACGTCATTTTCTATTCAGTTTTTCTTTTGCGCCATTTTCTATTATCGTGTGGTATTCATTTTAGTTCCATTATCTTATTGTTGTTGTTTTTTTTAATCGGGTGTTTTGGATCGAGATCTGTAATAATTCCGAGGTCGAGTCCCGCTATTTTATCGTTGTTTTTGTTGATGAAGACATTGCAAGCAGTATACTTCACACGAGCTACGCTCGGTTATCAAACACTGTTGCGAGTTAGTCGAACTAAGACCTGAGCTTGTTAAGTGGACGATGGAATCAGATCAGGAACGAAATATTTGTTGACCGTATTTCACGAATCAACAGTCTTTTAGTTGTGTAAACTTGCGGAGACGACAATATCTTGTGCATGAAAAATTATAGGGATGTAAGGTGGAACAATTTTTCCACGTAGACATGGAAGGAATATATCCGTTCAGAGAACAAATCATGTGATCAATTCAATCACGTGATACTTTGCCTTATTTATCCTTTACGCCTCCTATATTTTCCTTGGCTGTAAATATTTTTTTTTATTTATTTTTTTCTTTTTTTTTTCTTACACATGTAGCCGTTGGTTAAGAGCATATTTAAAGGCATGTCCATTATACCTTTTGTAACAACAGAACGTACGTATTGGAGATTTTCTCCATTCACACTTGACTTTGTCACCTTCCACTCTTTTGTCTAAAACTTGTCTTCCTTGTCTCTTTCTCCTCATACACGAAACAGGAGTTCATCTCCATTTTTCCTTCATGTCCTCTCTATTGCTTACATCTCTATAAGTTTTGTAACATTCCGAAGTCGCTACTAAATGTTGAAACTAACCTCATATATCAACACGATACTTTTCGGTATGTTTTGTATTCACTCGTATACATATCGAAAAACACTTCTCAATAGATCACACATCTTTAGATTGTTATATAGCGATTACGCTTAATTTTGGAGTTCTCTCGCAAAGACAATCGAAAATGTAGGTGTACTTTTTTAAGTTATCTTAAACCATATAATCTCATCCCTACACAATCTTCGGATCTCTCTAATTTCGATGCGTTCGATCCATTCCTTTACCCCTTTGGTCCAGTGATATTCGGATAATCGCTTCTTATCATGTCACTTGAACCGACGATCACTTCCAACTCTTATTATAGTTTGGGATATCACAATACCCTTTTTTACTGCTAAATTTGTATTCAATTATTTTTATATCGCAAACACTTAAAAAATTCACAGTTTTAATGTTTACACATGGATATGCTTAATTCTTTTAACACGATGGATAATGATGAAACCTGCCTTTGTGTGATCAAATCCTAATTGACTCAAAACATAACACACACACACACACATATATATATATGTATAGGCAATTAGGGTTTGATCAAACAAGGGCATGGTGGTGTATCTACGATGGAGAATGGTGAAAATTTAATCTTTCCACGTTTTGCATTCTCTCCCCTTTCGTTTATATTAATATATATATGTGAATCTCTGTTAATTTCGTATATAATACCGACTCTTTTTTTAAAAAAATCATATATCTCTGACATACCACATGTTATTGGGATATAAGCTATAGGCCACGCTAACATCGCTCAAATTTAATAGTACGAGCGTTTACCTAACTTCGCATATAATTAATTAAACCCTTTTGTAATCGAAACAAGATTAGTGGGCTAATTAATCTTATTTTAAAGAAAAAGAAGTTCCCTAGACGTAACCACTGCAGTTTCCTACCACAGAAACAGAGTCCAATCTCATTGTGTATACGAAAACTTCTATGTGTAATTATTCATGTAAGGGGAAACAAATTAAATAATCATCTATCAATGTTTAACACGTCGCATTTGGAAGAATAATTCAAAAGCTATTAAAACTCTAATAAAATATTTTAATATCTAGATATCCTTTTTTAATCATACTCATTATATAGATTTTCTAATTAAATGTCTAGATATTATTCTATAATTTTTTAAAGAAATTGAGCCATAAATTAATGTTGAATTTGCCACAATTTATTTTAGTTCAATTAATTATCTATTATTAAATTTGATCCGAAATTAATTTGACCCGTCATAAAATCTTGGTCGGGCAAAACAAAAAGTATATGATTCCCATCTCGAAAAAAAAAAGAGTTTAAAGTCAACCCAACGATTCATTATAAATAGGAAGTAGGAACCCTTCTCTGTATTTTCTTATACCAAAACCAACCAACAATACAAAACACAAAGATAAAAGAGAGAATCAACAAAAAAAAGAAAATGGCTTACATTGTGATAATTTTGGCTCTTATACCGATTATTTTGGCATTCAAATTCATAATCTCTTCCAAAAAACACAGTCCCCATCTTCCTCCCGGACCGCCGTCTCTTCCCGTCGTCGGCCATCTCCACCTCCTTAAACCGCCGCTCCACCGCCTCTTCCTCCGGTTCTCCGGCCAGTACGGACCCATCTTCTCCCTCCGGTTCGGCTCCCGCCGCGTCGTGATCATATCCTCCTCCTCCCTCGCCCAAGAATGCTTCACCGGCCGAAACGACATCGTCTTGTCCAACCGGCCGTTTCTGCTGACGGCCAAACACGTGGCCTACAACTACACCACCGTAGGGACCGCCCCTTACGGTGACCATTGGCGCAACCTCCGACGTATCTGCTCCCTCGAGATTCTCTCCACCCACCGTCTCACCACACTGCTTCCCATCCGGAGAGACGAGATCCGACGTCTGCTCACGAGGCTGTCACGTGACGGCACCGGCGGTAGTTTCGTCGAGGTCGAGCTCGAGACTTGCTTGTCGGATCTAACGTTCAACAACATCGTGCGGATGGTGTCGGGGAAGAGGTATTACGGGGACAATGTCCATAACGAGGAAGAGGCGAACATGTTCAAGAAGTTAGTGGCGGAGATCGGGGCGAACAGTGGAGCGAATCACCCGGGGGATTATTTGCCGATCTTGAAAATGTTTGGACATAAGTACGAGAGGAAAGTGAAGGCTCTTGGTGAAGCCATGGACGAGTTCTTGCAGCGTTTGCTCGATGACTGTCGGAAAGATAGCGAAGGCAACACCATGGTCAATCACTTGCTGTCTTTGCAAGAACAAGAACCTGATTATTACACCGACGTGACCATCAAAGGTCTCATGATGGTAAGTCAAATGTATATACATGCACAAGAGCAAAAAAAAATAAAATCTTATTTATATATTAGACGTATTGAAAACCCTTTTGAGAACCAAAAGAACAAATCCCAACCATGCATCCATACCCATATATATATATATATATATAATATCAAAGACACCTCGACGTGGGCGTGGGGTAACAAATAATTTACAACATAACCATTTCACTATAGTAAAATGCATTTATTGTGACCTAGACCGCCTTTAATTTAATGTTTTATTTTTACAACGTTGGTTGACATGAAAATACTAATATTTCCTCACAGAAAGGCACTGAGGTACAATTTTTCTGCATTGATATATGACTTCAGGGAATGATGCTGGCCGGAACCGATACGTCGGCGGTCACACTAGAATGGGCAATGTCTAATCTGCTGAAACACCCGCAAGTCTTAGAGAAAGCGAGGTCGGAGATAGACGAGAAGATCAGACAAGACCGACTGATCGACGAACCAGACATGGCCGAACTCCCTTACCTCCAAAACGTCGTGTCCGAGACATTCCGGCTGCACCCGGCGGCGCCGCTCCTGGTCCCCCGCACATCGTCCGAAAACCTCACGATCGGAGGTTACTTCGTGCCACGGGACACGATCGTGCTGGTGAACGCGTGGGCGATCCATAGGGACCCGGATCTATGGACCGACCCGGAGAAGTTCGACCCGGACAGGTTC